TATATATATATACACAATATAGCCAGAATGACACAACCAGGAGAGGATAAAATTGACAAATGGGACCTTCTTAAAATCAAATCCCTGTGTGCAATTAAAACCAATGTAGTGAAAAGAAAAGATACAGATTGGGAAGAAAATTTCACCATGACATTTCAGACAAGGGTCTCATAACTAAAGTTTATAGAATACTAATACTGGGCCTCCACAAGTCTAAGACTGATAACCCAAACACAAAGTGGGCAAGACCATGAATAGATACTTCACAAAGGAGGACCTTCAGATGGTCTAGAAACACACGAGAAAATATTCTTGTTGCTCTTTAGTTATGGTTTCAACTCTTTCTTCTAACATTTGTAACTTCTTCAGTACCAGTTCTTGGAACGCCACATCAAGATTTTTTTTCCCCTGACTTCCAGCCTCTATGATATTCATTATGTCCTTGATCAAGTTTACTCTTTTAGAAGAACACTTGTTTTGTTTTTTCATACTGTTTGGTCCTGTTTACTGCTTCCTTGACATTACGTGAAGTGAATGAGGAGAGATATTATTTCTCCTCTGAGCAGACAAAGTTTGTAAGAGGAGATGGGAAAGTTCTAGAAATGCTGCCCAGGACCCTTTCTTTCCCAAGTCTCAGCAGTAGATCCTTGAGATGTACCTATGGCTGAGTGAGAGGTGCCACTCTTGTCTTAGCCAACAGAGCTCCTAGGGGGTGCTGGAATGTCCAAGAAATGCTACTCAGGACCCTTTCTTCTCCAAGTTTCCAGTCACAGTGGTGGGTACTCATGGTGTACCTGTGTCTTCTCCTGACGCTGTTTGGGAAAGGTTGCTTCCACCTTAGCCGACAGAGCCTCTGAAAGGAGCTGATAATATCTCAGGAATGCTTCTTAGGACCCTTTCCTCCCCAAGTGTCAGTGGTTGGTGCTCACTTTGTACCTATGTCTTCTCCTGATATTGGGTGTATCCTGCCTAAAGTCCTCTCTGATCTTAAGTCAACCAGGAATACTCACATTGGCAGGGTAATTGACCATTCCAGGAGAGAGGAGGGCAACTCACCCTGTCAAGTTCTCTTTGGTCCTGGCAGGAAGACACCTTGGCAGGGGAGCTCATTACTTCAGGGGAGGAGAGGACAACTCACCTTGCCTGAAGTCCTCTCTGGTTCTGTAGCTTGCCTTGGTTGGGGAACTCATTGTTCCAAGGCAGGGGAGGACAACTCACCCTGCTTGAAGTCATCTCTACTCCTGGGATTGGCAGGAAAACTTGTGAAATAGAAAAATAGTTAAATATTATGTATTACATAAATAACTCTGCAATAACAAACAAAAATTTCCAAGTGGATATGTAAGTAAAGTACACCCAAGAGTATATGTCATTTTGACAGAGGATATGTTTGCATAAGTATTTGTATGCAGGAGCAAAGTTTTGAAAATGTCTTAACCACAACCAAACACTTTGAGGGCCTGAGGGTGCGAGTCCAATCTCAGAAGATATCTAAGTAGAAAAATATATTAAAAATATGCAGAAAAAATTAAATATCATGAAAGGACCACATTATTGGTCTGATAGATAATGGTAGAGTCACAGAGACTAGTGCCTTTGGGCACTTTTCACACCAAGAACTGAATCAAAGATCCCCTTTCAGCCAAACAGTAGATTAGAACAATGTACCACAGCAGACCACAATGCCAAAAATTACCACATTTACCACAACAAGAAAAAGGTAAATAACCCAATTGAAAAATGGGCACAGGATATGAACAGACACTTTGCCAAAGAAGACATTCAAATGGCCAACAAATACATGAAGAAATGTTCAAAACCCCTAGCTCTAAGAGAGATGCAAATCAAAACAACCATGAGATATCATTTCACCCTAGTCAGAATAGCAAAGTTAAACAGAGCAGCAAACAACAAAACTAACAAAGTTGCCAAAAAGGCTGGGACCCTTATTCACTGTTGGCGGGAGTGTAAAATGGGGCAACCACTATGGAAGGCTTTTCTCTCTCAAAAAGTTGCAAATAGAAATATCATTTGACCCAGCAATTCCATTACTGGGAATATACCCTAAAGAAACCATAACTGCCACCCAGACAGATATATGCACACCCATGTTTATTGTGGCTTTGTTGACAATAGCAAAGAGTTGGAAACAACATAAGTGCCCATCAACAAATGAATGGATAAAGAAGCTGTGGTATATTCACACAATGGAATACTGTGCTGCATTGAAAAACAAGGAACTCATGCACTATTATTCAGAATGGGTGACCTTGAAGGACATTATGCTGAGTGAAATATCTCAGTCACAAAAAGAGAGGTGCTGCATGGTGCCACTATTGTAGAACAGGACTGACATCAGGGTCGGGGTGAGACTGAGGAAAACTGGATAAATTATGTATACTGCATTGAAACAGATGAGGGAGAGAACTGTTTGAAAGCGATATATGATTGGGTATTCTGGTTATGACAAGAGTCCAGAATAAAGGTTGCATCAGGATGGGAGGGGGATTTATATCAATAAAATAGTTTTACTTTTCAAAGAGAAGAGTGAACTGGGGTGGGGAGGGCTGCGCAGGGCGAAAAGTGCAACAATGAATGTATGGAAATACAAAATCTCTGCAAATGTTCATTAAAATTAATTTAAAAATTTAAAAAACTTAAAAAATGACCACATTTGCCAAAAACAAAGGTCAAAAGGCTAGAAGCTTCAAGGAAGGAAGAGAAACATAAACAAGAAAACCAAGAAAGAAATGGGAAAACTGTGCTAACATTGAGGGGATGGTAGCTAATGCCACAAAACAAAATACGTAAAAATTATTGATGGAAAAATAACTTTCTTTATAAATACTTTCACCCAAACCACAAAAAATGTTCCAAAGATGGAGAAAAAGGTTTTCCTTCTGCTCTTTTATTTCATAGATTTAATATCAGCGCAGGTTCTTAGACCCTTATGTGTGTCTGTCATTATTTAATGTTCATTCAGATTAATTAAGATTTGACTATTGAATACAACTTTAAGCTGATTTCTTTAGAAAATTAAAACTACTGCCTAGTATTAATTTTACGTTAGAAAGTTAATACTTTCTGATTTTAGAATGGACCCATAGCTGACCCTCCAGTAGATTTTCAGAGGCAGTAAATCACACAGGAGGAAATTGTCCATCCTCCTGTACAGCGCCTTGCCTTTGAGATTACAGCTCAGCTTCTTACCACTAGGCCACCAGAACTTCCTTTAGAAAGTTAATACTTTCAGATTTTAGAACTGGCCTTGTAAGTAGAGGAGGACATGACCTACAATCTATTATAGATAATTTAAGTAAAAATATTTTCTTTTCAAAATTTTCTTTTTAGTATGTTTTAGTGTAATAGACTTATCTTCATTCTCTTCTGCTTATTCTTATAGCCAGTTAAAATAAGTTTACCATTTGCTTGTTATACTTAGGAAAAATAATATAATAGTGGAAGATAGCAAGTAATATTTGACAGCCCCTTACTAAAACCCTATCCATTAACATTGTACAGTATGCCTAAAATCACTCTCAGATATTATTGATTTGTAAACATCAGTAATCTATCAATAAAACATTCCAAGTATAATTTTTTAAATTTTTATTATTTGTGTGTACCGTCAAATCAGATCTGACTGGTACAGGAGGGAATTGTCCCTCCTTCCCCGGCAGAGCATCTGGTGGATTTGAACCGTGCCCCTCTGGGATTGCAGTACAGCTTCTTGCCACTAGGCCACCGGAGCTCCCCTTCCAAGTATAATTTTAAACTTTAAAAAATTTTTATATTGGTTTATGTACAAAATTCTTATCCAATATGTTTCATTCACATACATTTTGTTTCACTCCTTCTTTCATTCACATTGTGTTTCATACAATCATTCCATATATTGTGCTTTATAAGATTAATCACTATTAATTGATGCTCATTATCACCTTGTCTTTTCAACTCCCCACTAGATCTATCCTAATACCTTCACTCCCTCCATCCACTTACCAAATTGTGAGACCCCATAATTTCCTCCTTCTCACTTTCTGCCCTCCTCACTCCTCCCTTTCCCCCTATTTCTGTAGAGTCCTGATGATACCGTCCTTAGTGAGTTTATCTGAAGGCCACACCACTATGGTCAAATCCACCAATGAACTTAGGAAAAACTTATGAACAATCTCTTCCCATGCAGTTTACTGTATTTGAAACTCAGTGAAGGATAAACTAAGAGTTAGTTCTAATTTAACAGCCATGCATGACTGATAATTGTGTTGTTTTGAAAAGGATTTAAACTTATTTTCTGCTTTCTATCTACCCATTAATTGTTAGGATTCAAACAGGTAAATTGTCAGAATTCTTGACAACTTCTTGCTGCACATACTTGAGCTTCATGGACCCTAAGCCTGAGGGTAAGTTATACAATGATGGTTATAATGACAGCTACAATGACCTGGAATCTTGTGACTGGATGGATGGTTTTGATTCAGCTAGTATTGGTAAAGAGTCTTCATAAAGGCACTGGTCTTGCTAGAAAGGAATAAAAATATCATCAACATCTTATCTTATATTTCATACTGGTTTCAGTATCATCATGTGCCACCCTTAAACTTATATATCTATGTTTCTATTTTATTTTACTTAAATTTTCGTCCCTTTACTTATCTTTTTTTCTGAGTTCAATGGTATTGTTGAGTTATAGGGTTAGATTTTCTCTCAGTAAGCTTGGGTATAGGGAGCTCTGGTGGCCTGGTGGCAAGAAGCTGAACTGCAATCCTGAAGGCATGTAGTTTGAATCCACAAGCAGCTCCACAGAGGAAAGATGGGCAAATAATTCTCTCTGAAACCCTGCTGGAGGGTCAGCAGTGGGTTGGTCCTGACTTGATGGTACACAACAACAGAGCTTAGGAAAAAATTTATCTTATGGATATATAAAATGGTTGTGATATTAAAATGTGAGGAAGCACTAGTGAGTGAAATATAATTAAGCAGGAATAAAATATGTATGAGGAAATTAAAAAATATTTTTAATATTAAGAAACAAAGAAATACTAAATTTAGTGTTTTAAATGTAGTGTTAGAGGAACACATCAGAATCTCTTGGGGGTAGGTTAGAAAACTCTATTCAGGATTCTTATTCTTTTCATAGATAACAGTGGCAGTTCAGTGGCAGGAATCTCACTTTCTGTGCTGGAGACCTGGGTTCAATTCCTCAGCAATGCACTTCAAGCATAGCCACTTTTTCATTATTCATAGTTGAAAAGACAATTTCAAGTTTTGTCCTAAAGTACAATGCTGTGAGTGATGGTATATTAACCAGACACATACAAAGACAATCTGTTAATACAACTATTATTCAAACATTTATAGCAACCGCTAAAGTCAAAGAGGATGAAATTGAAGATTTTTACCTATATTTATAGTTTTAAATTGACTAAACATGTAATCAAGATGCATTAATAATTATTATGCTTGGAATGCAAAAGCTGGAGCCAATAAGAAAGAATTGTAGTTAGAAAATAAGGTCTTTGTGTCAGAAAAGAGGCTGGGCATTGAATGATTGAATTTTACACATGCAATGAATTATTTATCACAAATACCTTTTTAAAAGTACAAATGGTAACTTTATACATGGACCTCATCTGACAGACTGCACAGGTATCAGACTGACTACATTTGTGGAAAGAATCATTAGAGAAGTTTAATGTCAGTACTCAAAGTCTGCCCAGGTACTGACTGTAGAATATACCATTAATTATTCATGTGCAAGTTCAAATTAATGAATACCAGTGACTACCACTATCATTCAGATATATACACCAACAACCAGAGCCAAAGAAGAAGAAA